CCCGGGTTCGATCCCTAGGCGCCGGCGAGAAACAATAGACAGAGTTTCTTTCTCCCTATGCCCCTGTTACCTAGCAGTAAAATAGGTACCTGGGGTGTTAGTCAGCTGTCACGGGCTGCTTCCTAGGGGTGTGGAGGCCTGGTCGAGGACCGGGCCGCGGGGACACTAAAAGCCCCGAAATCATCTCAAGATAACCTCAAGATAAGATGCACAACCACTGCAACCTTGCAAGAATGTGATTACATCCATCTGACCACAAATGTCATAGCATTATTGCAAGCATTCAAAGGCCAAGCTCGCGGAATACTGTTCAGTCATGCAACACTGCAGATAACGCTTAACAAAATTGCAACTAAAGGGTGGTGGGGAGGGGTAAAGATAAGGTAACTATCAGGGGGAAAGCGCCAAGCCATCACGACTATATAGCACTGGGAAGGGGTCAGGATAAGGATTTGGGATAGGACGGAGGGAAGGAATGGTGCCCCAACCACTTGGACGGTCGGGGATTGAACGCCGACCTGCATGAAGCGAGAAACAGATTGAAGTGGGGGGGGGGGGGGATGTAGATATTTTCCTACCATAGAGTCTAGTGTAGATAAAGAAAATAATTACAACCACAACAGACCACTGGAACATTATCTAACACAGTGCACAGTTACAACCACAACAGACCACTGGAACATTATCTAACACAGTGCACAGTTACAACCACAACAGACCACTGGAACATTATCTAACACAGTGCACAGTTACAACCACAACAGACCATTGGAACATTATCTAACACAGTGCACAGTTACAGCCACAACAGACCACTGGAACAGTATCTAACATAGTACACAGTTACAACTACAACAGACCACTGGAACATTATCTACCACAGTGCACAGTTACAGCCACAACAGACCACTGGAACAGTATCTAACACAGTGCACAGTTACAACTACAACAGACCATTGAAACATTATCTAACACAGTGCACAGTTACAGCCACAACAGACCACTGGAACATTATCTAACACAGTGCACAGTTACAGCCACAACAGACCACTGGAACAGTATCTAACACAGTGCACAGTTACAACCACAACAGACCACTGAAACATTATCTACCACAGTGCACAGTTACAGCCACAACAGACCACTGAAACATTATCTACCACAGTACACAGTTACAGCCACAACAGACCACTGGAACATTATCTACCACAGTGCACAGTTACAGCCACAACAGACCACTGGAACATTATCTACCACAGTGCACAGTTACAGCCACAACAGACCACTGGAACATTATCTAACACAGTGCACAGTTACAGCCACAACAGACCACTGAAACATTATCTACCACAGTGCACAGTTACAGCCACAACAGACCACTGAAACATTATCTACCACAGTGCACAGTTACAACCACAACAGACCACTGAAACATTATCTACCACAGTGCACAGTTACAGCCACAACAGACCACTGGAACATTATCTACCACAGTACACAGTTACAACCACAACTGACCACTGGAACATTATCTACCACACTGCACAGTTATTAACCCAATACGGTTTCAACTGAGATTTAACAGCTCAGAAAAAGTTGTTAAACACACTGGTCTTAATCTTACTGAAGCCAGCACAACGAGTGATAACTACCCAACCACCATCAACACAATCCACAAATGACTAACACTTAGCGGGCCAGCCAGCGGCTTAGGGCCCGCTAAGTGATATTTTTGCCCATGCAAATTCAGGGATATTTTTGCCCATGCAAATTCAGGGATATTTTTGCCCATGCAAATTCAGGGATATTTTTGCCCATGCAAAAATATCCCTGAAAAAAAAATACTCACCCTCCCAAGGGTGAGTATTTTATTTTTAGGATTTTTTTAGTAGTTTTTTTAAGGATTTAGGCACCTCAGATGCCTAAATCCTGCTTACCTATTAACTCTTAAGTGAACAGGTGCATTGGAAGAAATAAAACGTGCCCAACCATTTCTGCCCCATCCCTTACACCCCCCCCCCCTTGTCTCATCCCAAATGCTTATCCTGACCCCTTCCCAGTGCCTAAAGTCTCAACTGGATATTTCAGATCCTCTCTTATAGTTGGTGTTAAGTAGTTCAGCAGTTAAGGGCTATGGGTTACCGATCTGCCAGGGCCAGATTCACGAAAGCACTTACGCAAGCACTTACGAACGTGTACATCTTTCCTCAATCTTTGACGGCTTTGGTTACATTTATTAAACAGTTTACAAGCATGAAAACGTCCCATTCAACTGTTGTTATTGTTATAAACAGCCTCCTGGTGCTTCGGAGCTCATTAACTGTTTAATAATTGCAAACAAAGCCGCCAAAGATTGAGAAAAGATGGTCAGGTTCGTAAGTGCTGGCGTAAGTGCTTTCGTGAATCTGGCCCCTGGTGCTCTGTGGTTGGCATCACCGCTGGCAGGAGTTAATGACATGTCATTGTCCAGATCTATTGTAGTTAGCAATTTATATATTCATTATTATTTTCTTATAACTATCAACACTGGCCCTTCGAACGTCAATTACAAACCAATCTAAGCTTTCCCCATATTTCTGGTCCTTTGACCTATGATAATTATTCCAATTAATTATTCACATATATATAAACTGACAACAGAAATATGTACCATAAAACAACACACATGAATGATTCCCAATCACCTTCATGTTATGTAAACCGCGTCAATGATCCCCAATCACCTACAAGTTGCCATACGCTCCATCAATGATCCCCAATCACCTACAAGTTGCCATACGCTCCGTCAATGATCCCCAATCACCTACAAGTTGCCATACGCTCCGTCAATGATCCCCAATCACCTACAAGTTGCCATACGCTCCGTCAATGATCCCCAATCACCTACAAGTTGCCATACGCTCCATCAATGATCCCCAGTCACCTACAAGTTGCCATACGCTCCGTCAATGATCCCCAATCACCTACAAGTTGCCATACGCTCCGTCAATGATCCCCAGTCACCTACAAGTTGCCATACGCTCCGTCAATGATCCCCAGTCACCTACAAGTTGCCATACGCTCCGTCAATGATCCCCAATCACCTACAAGTTGCCATACACTCCATCAATGATCCCCAGTCACCTACAAGTTGCCATACGCTCCGTCAATGATCCCCAATCACCTACAAGTTGCCATACGCTCCGTCAATGATCCCCAATCACCTACAAGTTGCCATACGCTCCGTCAATACCATGTTGCCAGCCTGAGCGAGGAAGGCACCTCGCCTGTCACCTGACGTCTGCCGCACACGCCACTGTCTGGTAATCTTGGGTCCTCATCCATACGGCCGGCCGACATGCGACACCCACCCACATATTTGTCTGAAGACGCACAGTTTACCTACACGCATCGCCACATGCACACACACGCATGGCTAAAATGCACACACACGCATGGCCACCAGATAAGTGGCCAAGAGACAAAGCAAGAGTCCCAGGAGTCCCAGGAGTCGCAAGAGTTATTTACGTCCGAGCATATATAACTCTTAGGAGCGGAAAACACTTTAATATGGTCTTGTTGCTCACGTAATAATATATAAAGAAGTTGATGGTGAAGGGTGGGGGGGGGGGGGGAGGAGGTGATGGTGAAGGGTGGGGGGGGGGAGGAGGTGATGGTGAGTTATTGAAATGGAAAATTAGGTTTGATTTACAACAGATGGCGGACTGTCCTTCTTGCATACACGTCGTGGTGTGTGTGTGTGTGTGTGTGTGTGTGTGTGTGTGTGTGTGTGTGTGTGTGTGTGTGTGTGTGTGTGTGTGTGTGTGTGTACGCACACGCACACTCCAAAATATAAACCACCTACGGGCTATTCAAGCCCGTGCCACCTCCTGTGGTGGCTTAATCTTCATCAATCAACCAACCAACCAACCAATCAATCAATCAATCAATTCACGTCAGCTCCCCCCCCCCCTGTTCATGGTGGAGTTGGCAACTACACTGACCCTCTCTGGCAGAGACATCTGAAGTCTACTCATCAATTGTCAATTCCCTCAACCGCTCTTCACTGTCACTAGTAAGTGGCATCTTCTTAGACGATGTCTGTACAATTTCCCACAAGATGAGAAAGGTGAGAACATGTGTCTCACGTTACGCTGACTCCCCAGCACACAGGTGGTGGTGGACCCCCATGCACATCCTGTGGGTGGTGGTGGACCCCCATGCACATCCTGTGGGTGGTGGTGGATCCCCATGCTCATCCTGTGGGTGGTGGTGGACCCCCATGCTCATCCTGTGGGTGGTGGTGGATCCCATGCTCATCCTGTGGGTGGTGGTGGACCCCCATGCTCATCCTGTGGGTGGTGGTGGATCCCATGCTCATCCTGTGGGTGGTGGTGGATCCCATGCTCATCCTGTGGGTGGTGGTGGACCCCATGCCCATCCTGTGGGTGGTGGTGGACCCCATACCCATCCTGTGAGTGACGGTGGACCCCCATGCCCATCCTGTGGGTGGTGGTGGACCCCATACCCATCCCGTGAGTGACGGTGGACCCCATACCCATCCCGTGAGTGGTGGTGGACAAAGTTAGAGTTGCACAAAATAATGTCACAAGCTTACGAACAAGATTTAAGATTATAGCGGGAATCTTTTCTACATTTCTGGTGTTTTTCACTTGAGAAAGAAGTTTCTGCCTTAAGTAACTTTAACAAGTAACTGTCTGCCTTGCCATAATTCAAGAAAGTGCTGAGTAACCTCAGCCCTCTCCTAAAACAAGACTTTACGAACTTACTCAACTCACACTTAAATCCCCAGAAAAGTTTTAAACAATTTAAAGATAAACAAACTTACATTTTAATGGGGGCCCAGGAGCTAAATCACAGCCCCCTGTACTCACCGATAGGTCTACACAATCACAATCACCTCATCACACTCAGGATAATTGGCGCTTAATTACCATACTCTCCTAACACTGCAGGACTAGACATGTGAGTACGTTAAGAGTACGATGTGAGTACGATACCTTCCGGATGAGTCTCTCTTTTGATTGGCGGGTCATGAGGTCGTCCTGCGTGACGCTGTGGGTGGGAGAGCCAATCACACGTCGCAGTGGGCGTGGCTCCCCGACCCCGCCCTCTCGCTGGAAGATCTGTCCCGCCTCCCGGTACACCAGCTGGGACACCAGCTCCCGCCTGTAGGGGACAAGGGCACAGATTACACATTGTGAGAGAGAGAGAGAGAGAGAGAGAGAGAGAGAGAGAGAGAGAGAGAGAGAGAGAGAGAGAGAGAGAGAGAGAGAGAGAGAGAGAGAGACAGAGAGAGAGAGACAGAGAGAGAGAGACAGAGACAGAGACAGAGAGAGAGACAGAAACAGAGAGACAGAGACAGAGAGAGAGACAGAGACAGAGACAGACAGAGACAGAGACAGAGAGAGAGAGAAAATCAAATATTTCTCAAATACATTTATATGTAACTGGTCATTCAGACTGCTTCCTGGAATTCTCTCTTCTATAATAGCATTTGTCCACATTTTTCCATTTTAGATGTCGTAAGTTGAAATCACCAAGCAAAGTGATGTTAGGGGTTTGTGAGGTTTTCTAAGCTTTAATCTATTGCATAAGTTAGTCTTTAAACTGCTGAGGATTTGCATCAGGTTATATATATATATATATATATATATATATATATATATATATATATATATATATATATATATTACCCCTATTTTACCCCTTTACCCCTCCCCACCACCCTGTAGCTGACTCCACACTGTAGCCTGTAGCAGATCCCAGCCTGTAGCCTGTAGCTGACCCCACACTGTAGCATGTAGCAGATCCCAGCCTGTAACTGACCCCCACCCTGTAGCCTGTTGCTGACCCCACCCTGTAGCTGACCCCACACTGTAGCCTGTAGCTGACCCCACCCTGTAGCCTGTAGCTGACCCCACCCTGTAGCCTGTAGCTGACCCCACCCTGTAGCATGTAGCTGACCCCACCCTGTAGCCTGTAGCTGACCCCACCCTGTAGCCTGTAGCTGACCCCACCCTGTAGCCTGTAGCTGACCCCACCCTGTAGCCTGTAGCTGACCCCACACTGTAGCCTGTAACTGACCCCACCCTGTAGCCTGTAGCTGACCCCACCCTGTAGCCTGTAGCTGACCCCACCCTGTAGCCTGTAGCTGACCCCACACTGTAGCATGTTGCAGATCCCAGCCTGTAGCTGACCCCCACCCTGTAGCCTGTAGCTGACCCCACCCTGTAGCCTGTAGCTGACCCCACACTGTAGCCTGTAGCTGACCCCACCCTGTAGCCTGTAGCTGACCCCACACTGTAGCCTGTAGCTGACCCCACACTGTAGCCTGTAACTGACCCCACCCTGTAGCCTGTAGCTGACCCCACCCTGTAGCTGACTCCACACTGTAGCCTGTAGCAGATCCCAGCCTGTAGCCTGTAGCTGACCCCACCCTGTAGCATGTAGCAGATCCCAGCCTGTAACTGACCCCACCCTGTAGCCTATTGCTGACCCCACCCTGTAGCCTGTAGCTGACCCCACCCTGTAGCCTGTAGCTGACCCCACCCTGTAGCCTGTAGCTGACCCCACCCTGTAGCCTGTAGCTGACCCCACACTGTAGCCTGTAGCTGACCCCACCCTGTAGCCTGTAGCTGACCCCACCCTGTAGCCTGTAGCTGACCCCACCCTGTAGCATGTAGCAGATCCCAGCCTGTAACTGACCCCACCCTGTAGCCTGTTGCTGACCCCACCCTGTAGCCTGTAGCTGACCCCACACTGTAGCCTGTAGCTGACCCCACCCTGTAGCCTGTAGCTGACCCCACACTGTAGCCTGCAGCTGACCCCACCCTGTAGCCTGTAGCTGACCCCACCCTGTAGCATGTAGCAGATCCCAGCCTGTAACTGACCCCACCCTGTAGCCTGTTGCTGACCCCACCCTGTAGCCTGTAGCTGACCCCACCCTGTAGCCTGTAGCTGACCCCACCCTGTAGCCTGTAGCTGACCCCACACTGTAGCCTGTAGCTGACCCCACACTGTAGCCTGTAGCTGACCCCACCCTGTAGCCTGTAGCTGACCCCACCCTGTAGCCTGTAGCTGACCCCACACTGTAGCCTGTAGCTGACCCCACACTGTAGCCTGTAGCTGACCCCACCCTGTAGCCTGTAGCTGACCCCACACTGTAGCCTGTAGCTGACCCCACACTGTAGCCTGTTGCTGACCCCACACTGTAGCCTGTTGCTGACCCCACACTGTAGCCTGTAGCTGACCCCACACTGTAGCCTGTAGCTGACCCCACCCTGTAGCCTGTAGCTGACCCCACCCTGTAGCCTGTAGCTGACCCCACACTGTAGCCTGTAGCTGACCCCACCCTGTAGCCTGTAGCTGACCCCACCCTGTAGCCTGTAGCTGACCCCACACTGTAGCCTGTAGCTGACCCCACACTGTAGCCTGTAGCTGACCCCACCCTGTAGCCTGTAGCTGACCCCACCCTGTAGCCTGTCGCACGTTCCTGTAGTTATGATATTTCTGCAGTTTCTTGGACGGTTGTGTTTGCATGTTCCATTTGTTTTTTCCTGACGGCCCCATATTTACACCCCACCTCCTGCATAATATTGGCACCTTCCGCGTTCCTACTTTGTTTGTTTGTCATTGTTTTATCTCCACTACACTCTGTGCTGGCTCTTTGCTGATAGAGTTAGTCCGGTTGTGGTGGGGTTGTATCCTAAGGGTGGGGGGGGCGAGGGGGGAGGGGGACAACGATATAAGCCTAACGTGTATGAATACCCTCTGGCTTCCTGCCCCCCCCCCCCGATACATTGATTATATAATTATTATTTGAAAACAAAAAGCCTCGAGGCTTGTAACATGAGACAGACAGACAGACAGACAGCAGGACGGGCCAGGGCAGCGAGGGGACAAGGTGACAGGTGACGGGTATAGTGGCCAGTGTGGCGACCCACACTACCAACACATGGACGGAACCACTCTACGTAATCACACACACACACACACACACACACACACACACACACACACACACACACACACACACACACACACACACACACACACGCCCCCCCACACACATGGTCCAGGACGGACCGAAACGTCGTCGTCGTCTCCTTATCTTTTGGGAGTTCTTCTACTCCCAGAGCCCGGCCCGGGGCCAGGCTAATCAAATTAACTCAAAATCATTGATATGATTCAACAAATTGTTGAATCATATTAAAATGCGGTTGAAGTTAACACATATGTATATAGCTGAATGACTGAGTGTTGGCTGATGACAATATGCTCAGGTCAAATGAAGATAACCTGACATGACGACACTGCTGGAAATGAAGATAACTGAGATAATCCCTGATGCAGTCTCTCCCCCCCCCCTATGATAACCTGGCGATGTCATAGATAACAGCCTCACCTTCCCAAGTGACTGACAAGAAAACTTAAGTCTGGCCTCAGAGGTTGACAGCGAGTGAGTAGAATATTAGAGCAGCCATCTCGCCATCAGTACTCTTGTGTTGACCAATCAGGAGGGAGAGGATCTAGTCAGAGACCGGACCGAGGCGACGTTAATCCTCGGAACACCCCCCCCCCCTCCACTAGGTAGGTAACTAGGGCAAGATAACTATCTCGTAAGTCGTCTAGGTTATTACCATCTGCTGTAACACTTTTGGAGTATAAATTAACACAAAAGATTTCACGCCGTGCAAGAAACTGGCACACACATCCTCCTGTCACGTCCAATGGCACACACATCCTCCTGTCACGTCCAAGAAACTGGCACACACATCCTCCTGTCACGTCCAATGGCACACACATCCTCCTGTCACGTCCAAGAAACTGGCACACACATCCTCCTGTCACGTGCAAGAAACTGGCACACACATCCTCCTGTCACGTCCAAGAAACTGGCACACACATCCTCCTGTCACGTGCAAGAAACTGGCACACACATCCTCCTGTCACGTCCAAGAAACTGGCACACACATCCTCCTGTCACGTCCAAGAAACTGGCACACACATCCTCCTGTCACGTCCAAGAAACTGGCACACACATCCTCCTGTCACGTCCAAGAAACTGGCACACACATCCTCCTGTCACGTCCAAGAAACTGGCACACACATCCTCCTGTCACGTCCAAGAAACTGGCACACACATCCTCCTGTCACGTCCAAGAAACTGGCACACACATCCTCCTGTCACGTCCAAGAAACTGGCACACACATCCTCCTGTCACGTCCAAGAAACTGGCACACACATCCTCCTGTCACGTCCAAGAAACTGGCACACACATCCTCCTGTCACGTCCAAGAAACTGGCACACACATCCTCCTGTCACGTCCAAGAAACTGGCACACACATCCTCCTGTCACGTGCAAGAAACTGGCACACACATCCTCCTGTCACGTCCAAGAAACTGGCACACACATCCTCCTGTCACGTCCAAGAAACTGGCACACACATCCTCCTGTCACGTCCAAGAAACTGGCACACACATCCTCCTGTCACGTCCAAGAAACTGGCACACACATCCTCCTGTCACGTCCAAGAAACTGGCACACACATCCTCCTGTCACGTCCAAGAAACTGGCACACACATCCTCCTGTCACGTCCAAGAAACTGGCACACACATCCTCCTGTCACGTCCAAGAAACTGGCACACACATCCTCCTGTCACGTCCAAGAAACTGGCACACACATCCTCCTGTCACGTCCAAGAAACTGGCACACACATCCTCCTGTCACGTCCAAGAAACTGGCACACACATCCTCCTGTCACGTCCAAGAAACTGGCACACACATCCTCCTGTCACGTCCAAGAAACTGGCACACACATCCTCCTGTCACGTCCAAGAAACTGGCACACACATCCTCCTGTCACGTCCAAGAAACTGGCACACACATCCTCCTGTCACGTCCAAGAAACTGGCACACACATCCTCCTGTCACGTCCAAGAAACTGGCACACACATCCTCCTGTCACGTCCAAGAAACTGGCACACACATCCTCCTGTCACGTCCAAGATTATCGACGTCGTAATTACGAGAACGCTACGACGAGAACTCAAACGCGGATCCTCCAAAGTAAGTCACTAATCCGGGTTAAGGTTACGAACGCATTCACTCTTCGCGGCAGTTGCTAAGGGTGTCGACCACCTCCCGCACGATCGAAGGAAT